GTTTATTCTGCAGTTTCACCGAGTGCAGATCGACAGCCTGGACTTGGCACCGCCCGACTACTACTTGCTTATGCACATGAAGTGCGAGCTAGATGGCAAGCACTTTGGATCTGATGTTTAGGCGAAAAACGCTGAAGAGTCCTGGCTGTCGATACTGGCGGGAAGTCTCTTTCAAGATGGTGTACAAAAACTGGTCACCCGCTGCGACAAGTGTTTGAACATTGGCGGAAACTGTTGAAAAATTAGTTTAAGAAATGTATTTTCATGTAAAAATAAAATTGGCTTAAAAATAACTTTTAAAAAAATTGTACTTTATACTAGATTTGAATGCAAACATTCTTATTATGTTTTGGGCCTTAGGGTTCGTCTGTAAAGTACTGTATTGGGCTCATTTTTTGTAAATGCGCATGTCGTAATTCTGCAAACAAGCAGCAACACAGAATAAAACGCCGAATTATTTATTACATTTTATATGAATATGTTACATATTCCGCACTTTCCTTTCACTGACAAACTTCAACTCAAAAAACGTCATTGATAAAACAATGCCTTACCTGTATTCTTTTAAACTTTTATTAAGAGCTCATCAACGCTCAAAATTCATTTCTTTTTGAAGTTGGCAGCAGTACCGTGATGGTTGTGGGCATGGTTTTCTAAGTGTAAACAAATTTATTAATTTTATCGTAATCGGAGGGGAAGCAACACATCGCCGCTGCTGACGTCGCGGTCATTCTTCTGGTTATCAAACTCGTCATCATCACCGATGCCTCCTTCATTATGATCTTCGGCATCGTCATTCTCATCATTTTCTTCCTCGTCATCATCATTCTCCCCCTCGTTGCCATTCCTCTCTTCATCTCCGTCCTCATCGTCGTCATCCTCGTCCTCGTCGTCTTCGTCATTCTCATCCTCTTCGTTCCTGTCATTTTCCTCATTTGCAACGTCCTCGTCGTTTTCGTCATCCTCATCATTTTCGTCGTTCTCCTCTATGTAGCCTTCGTTCTCTTTGTCGTCACCATAATTTTGATCATTCTCGTCGAGGCCACCATTCCCCCCTTGTGTTGCCGCCATCGTCGTTTTTTTCTTCACAGCCCACGCGGCTGCGGTGTTCTGCAACCATTGCCACGCCATATTTTGTAGTTTGTCTTTGTTATGCTGTTGCCACCGAAACTTCAAAATCTATGTTGAAATCAAGGTCACCTCGTTGATATTGTCAGTATAATAATCAGATGGTTGTCGCTTCTTTCGTGTATTCATGCGTTCATATAAGGGGACGTCAGTTGACTTCTATAAACTGTTGAACAAACGAGAAGAAACTTCTGAAATCCATTGTTTGCAATAATTTATCTATGTGACATCATTATTCAATAGTGTTTTGAACGTATCATTACTGTTTTCGTGAAATATCTAACAATTGACGAATATCAGCAAATTTTTACAAGTCGTGTGTTCATGCCATTCTTCAATTAATGGAAACTAGAGCTGCTTCAACAACAAATACTTTCTCCCATTATTGGGAATGGTTGCTTAACGTTATAATATTGTACTTCTTTCCCGACTAACACTTCAGCCATCATTCAAAAAAGAAAACGAAGTGCCTGCGGTGCGTATCTGCAATTATTTCGATAATCAGGAACAAGGGTCATTTCTTACTTCTACAAAGGAAACAAACATTATTAAAATTTACTGTTAGAGTATTTGCAGCACATTACACAGAAATGCAAGAATAATTTCCATAAGCTTACCTTGATTACTTCGAAGTGAGCTTCCAATTTTTTATACCGTAATATTAACGCTCAGACCTTTTTAAAGTAAAACAAGGTGTAAGTTAAGCATTTTGTTAACAATTCTAGCCAAAAATCCTAATTTCTTTCTGTATTCAGAATTCAACTTGTATATGGCGTAGGGTAGGGATTCCAGATTTAGAAAAAAACGTACACACTCCGTACACTTCTCCCCGCAGTATACATAGTTTTTAACTGTTTTTGACGTGAAATAAATAACAAAATAAATACCTCAAGGAAGGATGAATGAATATATGCAAATTTTTTGCTACACCTGCTTGTGAAAGCTTACTTGTAACTCACAAAGAGACTTGTTGCGCAGGTGGTGTACTTCACGGCGCTGTTTCCTTACGTGGTGTTGGTGATCCTGTTTGTGCGTGGAGTGACGTTGCCCGGCGCGTCCACTGGCATCCTCTTCTACCTGACACCGGATTGGCAGCGGCTCTCCAACGCCGTGGTGAGATGTCACTTTTTTTATTATACTACTTGGATTTAAACATAGCTGCAATCAGCTGTTCCAACGGGAGGTTGATCGACACCATAGTGACGTCACTGCAGTGATATGTATGCTCCCGATTGGATGACGTCGTAACAGCTGATGATCTGTCAAATGAAGCTCTAAATTAATCGAAGTATACTTATTTCTGAAGTTCAGACAGCCACGGGCTAACGTAAGCCCATGCGAGTTGGCTGCAATCGTTTCCCAGAAAGATTAGCTCATTTTTTGATTAGTTAATATGAGGTGAGGACACACTTTCAGTTACATATGAGCATTATCATTCGCGGTGCTCTTACAGTTCGTACGAGAAATTTGTGTACTTGGCGACCGTTTAAGCGCGAGCGTGACACACGATGCGAGACACTGCAAAGAGTCATCTACGCTATTCAAAAAACATCGGGTAGCCCAATTCGAGCTACGGATCGTAATCTTCCAAAAAAATATTTTACTCGACAGTAATAGCCGTTCCTTATAGTGCAGAAGGGAAAATTTTTTCGACAACAAATTAGAAACTTGGAATTATTAATTTGCGTGTTTAAATTCGGCACTAGACTCCTGACCTTGATGTTGAAGGAATACTGTGTGATCTTAAGATTCACGAGCTCGTAATTCTTGGTTTCTACTCAAGCTGTAATATTGAATGGGAATTTCCCCAAATAACACTTTTGTTTTTCTAAATACTGCTTCTTCCGGGTAGGTCAGATTCACATGTGTTGCAGTAAACCTTAAAAAGTGCCTATATGGACCTTATAATATTATCAATTTATTAGATCCGTTTATTAGTTTTTAGTCCTCTAGTGTAGGGTGTGTTCTAAAACTCATAGCACCTTAGTCGGGCACAGCATGAGTATATAATATATAACATTAAGAGTATTTACAGTTAATTTTAGAACGCGCCGTTTTAAATTAAGTTTAGCTACAATCATCCAAAAATATTCAATGAGATATGACAATGTGATAAATAAAATAACCTCATTTGAAAATAATTATTTTATTCCTAAAGTATTCCTTCCATCTAATGTAGTCATGAGAATAATCACAACTAATTTTTAAATATGAAAGTAACTTATAATTACAACAGATATCATTTTTATATAAATTATTAACTGCAATGTTCACAAACAAAAAACAAAACCAATGAAGCATTTCGTTGGGTCACTACCTAAAACAAATTCAAATACATATTTTAATGAAAATTCAAATGTCCCGCTTGGAAAGTTGAATTGTTCTTATTGGACGGATTTGCAGCCATCTAACGGCGAATGTTTGCCAATGTTTGCACGTGGCGATGGTGTAACGGTTTGCATATTGAACTGTTGTACCCAAGTTGGTGGGTTTCAAACTCGATCGAAGCCGTGGATTTCTAAGGGCCTTCCTTCCTTCCTCTCCGAAGGAAGGAGGGGAAGTAAAGCCAGCTGTCCCGTGTTAGTAAATTTACTTGCATGTAAAAGATCCTCAAGCCTAAATGACGCCTCAGACTTAAATTCAAAGCGCCTGTTTCTCGCCCAAGAAATACCTCCTTTCTTCGCTAGTGGGTGAAAGGAGCGTAGCGAAATTTGCGTGGTCAGGCGGAAGAGCAGGCCTTATGGCCTGAGTCTCGCCACGTAAAATAAGGCATAAATTCAATTCAATTCAACCCTGGATTCCACAACCAACTGACGAGAACATTTGCCTTGCAGGTGTGGGGCGACGCTGCCGTGCAGATCTTCTTCGCGCTGAGCCCTGCCTGGGGAGGCCTCATCACTCTGGCCTCCTACAACAAGTTTTCCAACAACTGCTACAAGTATGTCAATTTCTTTCCACTGGACAATAAAACCGGGAATGAAATCGAACTGGGCAATGTTTCCGACGGTTAATGAGAAGAAAACAAAGAGGAGCATCAACGGCTTAGGGGGAAAAGGAATGTGTAAATTGCAAGGGTAGCTACTCGCATTTAATAACTATTTAATCCATGGTCATCAAGTAATTACGAAACTGTGAATTTTGCAACTTTTCAATTTTCATATTTTCAGTCGAAAGTTAAAATTATACTCATTCAAAACACAACAGATCTATCATTGTTTATATAATATGCGAACAGTTGGGTGTTCAATAAGGTCCATTTAAAATCTGTAACAACGAAGGACTTCAGGACCTTTACTCTTCAGGTCCCTTAAAAATTTCAGACAGAAGTTTTTTTTAAATAACTTATTTCATAAAAAGTAAAGATGTTCTTTTAGCGACGTTTCTGGAGTTACTACACCCCCTCTTAAGGTCTATTGCGATATTCTATAATAATAATAATAATAATAATAATAATAATAATAATAATAATAATAATAATAATAGTCTTTCCCACATGTTTACATGATATATGTCACAAAAATTTCATATAGATTACACACGCATGTTTCTTCTGGTTTCTGGTGGGTTTCCGTTCGGCAATTTGATAGTGGAAAACATGTGCAGCTAAAAAAAAAGCCATATTAGACTCTCATCCATTCTGTTTTTATCATAGGGTCTGTGCTGTAAAATTCTAACCATATCTCGTCCTTTTTCTTTTGTAATTCCTGTAGTAGATTCTTGTACGCCTCCGTACAGGGCAGTAGAAGTTAATATCTTAAATGTTCTATGTAAAATTGCTCCCCGGATACTTCGTACACTAATCGTGAGGGTGTATTCTTTGACAGATGTGATAATATGCTTTTTGGTTGTTCTACTACATGTTCCTTCCGCAGGGATTCGCTCATCGTCGCAATTTCAAACATCGGAACGTCCTTCTTCGCCGGGCTCGTTATCTTCTCCGTCATTGGCTTCCTCGCCCACGAGCTCAATGTGGAGGTGACCAAGGTGCTGGACCAAGGCGCTGGACTAGCCTTTATAGTTTACCCGGAAGTTGTCACTCGCCTTCCGGTGTCTCCTGTTTGGTCGCTGCTCTTCTTCGTAATGCTGCTCACGCTGGGCCTGGACTCTCAGGTAGGTGTTTTCTTTCAGGTCGTTTACGCCCACCATGACGTCCTAAATCTTTTCTTCTTCTTCTTCTTCTTCTTTCTTACTTCTCTTCTTCTTCTCTCTTCTTTCTTTCTTCTTTCTTCTATTATCCTTCTTCTTCTTCTTCTTCTTCTCTCTTCTTCTTCATCCTCCTCCTTCTACCCTCCTCCTTCTTCTTCTTCTTCTTCTCCTCCTCTTTTCTTCTTCTCCTTCTTCTCTCTTTTCCTTCCTCTCTTCTTCTTCTCTTATATTATTACTATTATTAATTGATTAATATTATTATGGAAGTACAAAACGGTTTACAATTATGTAATATGTAGTGAAAAATTAAATGACATAATTATATTAGTAGTAAGTTGTGGCAAACTACAAAAGAATTCCAGTTAGTAAAGTAAGTTCAAAATAGAGTTAAAGATTAATAGCTTTTTTTCCCTTTCCTAGAAAACTTCGTTCTTATCCCTTGACGTACCCAACGAAAAGTAACGAATTCTCTTATTTGAGAAAACTGAGAACGACTAACGCGAACAGAGTACATTGATAGTGCGAAATAGCATAAAAACAATAACTCTACAAGCGTTTGCTGGCGCCTTTGCCTGTTGGGGACAGACTACCTTCAGCCTTCGCGATTTTCATAAAATAGTTGAGACTGGGCAGCGCATGATTTTTAAAGTACGCTGATGGCAAAATACTTCAGCGCCCAGTTTCCTTTTCGTTGTTTCCAAGATTTGGTCGTCGGACTTAACATAACGCAATCTTGAGTTTGTGAAACCCATAATTTTCAAGGCATTTTTATGTCCAAATACGCTGTTCTCAAGAAGATCGATATCACGTTCGAAATTGAAAGAAGCATGTTTTCAAACTATGCAATGCAATGCAAGGCACTCGATCATTTCTGTCTTACGCTCTTCAACCTCACGACAGATTCTTTCGTTGACGGATAAGACCTGCAAATATTTTACCTTTTTTTGTTTTATGAATGATAATTAGAATATTTTTATCTCTTTTGTAGTAAGCTCTACTCCAGATCTGAAATTGAAACACATTTTCTATTTATATTGCATCCATAAGCACTTTAAAATAGTATATTCCTAAATATATTTGGTACACTGATCAAAATTGTGTGAACTTTTATATTTTATAGTTTGCTCTCATGGAGACCGTCACAACAGCCATTCTGGATAGATTTCCAAACCTAAGAGATTACAAAATGTGGGTTGTTCTTGTTGTAGCGGTATTTGGTTACTTTGGAGGTCTCATTTTCACCACAAATGTAAGTATATATTGTTTGGGCAATACGTAAATCTTGAAAACCTATGTCTCATGACTAATTAAATGCGTGGAGGCCTGATGTATTTTAAAATCAAATTAATGTTATTATAAAACGTTGGATGGTTGATTGGAAGTTGACGGTGGCACCGTTCTGTTGATTCTCTTTAACGATTGAATATTGTGAAGGATCGAAAGAATCAAAGTGCAGGTCAGAATATACAATTTCCCTTTAAAAGAAATTCACTTGAAAGTGAGGGAGATTTATAAAACAGCGTGAGCGCCGGAGAGAGAGCGGATGCGCGAACCAGGTGGCGAGAGCGGGAACCTAGCACGTTGTTGGATCCGTCGGGTAGCGACGTACGTTAGCAACCACTTGGGGTCGAAGTGCATTGGTTGTGAAATTCTTCTGTTCACGATGTTGAGACTCCTTTCTGGTGAACGAAATTTTTCTTATCAAAAGAACAGTGCCACCTTAAACTTCCGATTTACCCTTTGTATTACCTGATACGTGATATTGTAATTAGCGACTATGAATTGAGGATTTGAAGCCGGCTTTGAAGATATTTAGTACAGTTGCAAATTTTGTAATTATTTTGTGTGTTATTCAACTAAGTGTTTATTTCCTCCACCTTGAACTTTGAAATGAATGGCTAGACAGGAAAGCAGGTATAATGGCTAGCCTTTGTCCTTGAAAATTAAATTATTTAAGATATTACAATATATCTGAAATATACACTACAAATTACTGTATATCTGAATACAGATATCTGAAATAGAACTATTTCAGATAATAAAAACACTAGAATTTCATATGCCGAACACGACTCACTATAACATCGAGTAAAGACACAGAGTTTATTCTCAACAAAATAACTTTTCTTGGGGAGACCACTGACGAGATATAAAATTAAAATATGACATTAGTTCCTCAAAATCGCAATTCTCTTTCATTTTATTTTCTCAATAATTTTAATCAATAATTTTAAACGTTAAAACCACATGGCATTATGGGAAGGTCGGGTGGTATCGTCCACCTTTGCTTTAAATATGATTTTTTAATTATGGTTCGATAAAATTATTCGTTTGATACAGAATATAAAACTTAAATCTCTTACTTACGCACTGGTTTGAAAGCTGTTTGGTTTGAAAGTAAATTAATATGCTTATTTGGGGATAGTAAAAATCGTCGAAAATTTACATGTCTGAAAAGTGGACGTTGGTATTGGACAACTAAAGAAATAATGGTAAAATCATTTTAATGGAGTATTAGGCTTGGCTTTTATCTCTCCTCGTACTGTCAGTATTTATACCCAATCTCCTAGTGTGTTCTTGGGTAAAAATATCTAGCACTAGCCTGTCTTATCGACATTTCTTTTAAAACAACTTCACAATGACTATCTTCATATTATTTCCTCCCATTTCTCTCGAATTTTACCCATAGTTTCCTGAAAAACGAACAAAATTCACATTGGTATTCGAATATTACCTCTTAACAACCCACTCACAAGAAATGCGCAAAATGATGAGAAGAATGTCCTTAAAGAAGAATATAATACATGAATAAATTGTACAAACGACCTTGTACTGCTGTAACCTAACAAATACACCTTAGTAAACATACTAGTCACAGTACAATATGTATAAACTTACACTAAGGGAAGCTTCAAAGCTCCAAAGTTATCTTCGTACAATGCGCAACCTACGAAAAACGTAACACGTGGCGCACTAACCGAACTGCTTGATGTACTCACACAATATGGCGTTTGGCACGTACTATCACCCGGGCCCAATGCCCTAAACTACTTTTGTCCGATATGACCACACCTTCCCCTACGTGTGTCATATAATACAGGCTCCCACAGACCGGCACGGAACATCGTCAATGGGTGAATCGCGGAAAGTTCCTCGCTAGAGGTGGCGACGAAATCCGCGGGACCGTTCACACCAGTGCGTCAATTACGACAGCGTTTGGTGACAGTTTTCCTCATCCGATAAACAAAACGCGCTCACTTCTATTCATGCACGAAATCGAAAATGCCAATACACGTACGTTTTCTGAGCACATGCCCTTGGGCTCTTAGGTGCTTTTATATTCTTTATCTACGATTTTCCATCGGATTGTTAATATCTGTTTAGGAAACGAAGAAAAGGGGTCTATGATTTTGACCTAAAAAGGAAAAAATACGAAGAATTTTATACTTTCATGCCACAAAGGACGAGAAACGCTTTTATGTAGGGTTATTCAGTCCTCGCTGCTAGTTCGCCAGGACATTTTTCTATATGTAATGTACAGACTGAAATTGCCAAATTTGGATACTCTTCGTCGTTTAGTTTTGTAAATAATTATCGTTACACTTTGGACTATGCACTTGTGCTCGTGTAACATAGGCTACGGCAAGTGACCGAGCGGCTTCACCTCTGTTTGGGCTCCCTTTTCTCTGGAAAACTCAGTTGCTAAAATTTTGGCAGCTCCACATTCTGGCACAGCCTCAGAGATTTCGTGTACCTGCCAAACATGAGTGCAAGACAAGCTGCTTACCAATTAAAATTACCTTTCACATGTGAACGTTCGTTATCTGATATTTCCCATTATATGCTCGTGGGTGAAAAGTAATCATCTACGTCTCCTCTACATATCATAGAATTTTTGTAACATTTGAGGCTCTGACAGACCAGCGCGAAAGGTTCGCAGCCTACGCGGAATGGCCGCACCGGAAGTTTCGCGTCACGTGTAGCCTTATGAGCACGTACAGACCTGCGCGGCAGACGAACGTCGCGGCAGTGGATTGGCAGCATCTTAACCTGCCTCTCTATTTTTCCAGTCACGTGAGAGTCCTTCTCTTCCTTTGCTCTTTCAATGGTTTGTTGTCAAAGGGTGACAAGATGCCTCTTTTTCTTCAGTTTGGAGGACAATAGTACTCATGCTCCATTTGGCCGTCTGACAACATTCATTCTTCTTACATGGCCATACAATTGTAATTATCTTCAAGTAATTAGACATCCATGCTTTAGGTTTTCCAACCTATTTCTCACATATATCTTCCCATACATTATTTTTTAATCATAACACCTCTCCCTTACGTACAGTTTTCTGTCTTCGTCGTCTTGGGTCCTCAGCCACTTTTGTTAACACCATTTTTTAACATGTAAAATTTATTCAACTTCTCCTGTACACCAATGTGGGATAGTTATGATCATTTGCATTTTCTTCTCCCAGTGCTTCATTACCGGCCTTTTGAATGCAGTATAACTCCTGTGCCTCTTCTTTTGGTGTGTCTTTGAGCTTCATTGCCAGTATCATTTTGTACATTAAGAACTCAACCGGGTCTTATTTTAAACTTTTCAAATTATATGTAATTTTTTGGACAATACCTTCTAATTCTTGATTTTTATTTTTTGGTTTATTTTCTGTATTTAATTTTGATGGTATCTTTAATCATAAAGTGGTCTGATCCACATTTGGTGCTCCTGTAATCTCTTAACTCTGAGGATTTTAGGCAGGAAGTTTTGTTGAATAATGTAATCAATAAAAGAAAGAATTTTCTTTGTTGAATGACAACAGGTGTATTTATGAATCCATATATGCCAAAAGTATCCATTCATTATTTTCAGAGAAAAGGTTTTGCACAAGTTGCTTAACGCTGGCTGCTGTCATTAATAATATATTTTTCATACCTCACTATGATTCTGCTTGATCTGCTTGCCAATTCTGCATTTATGTCTCCTAGAATAAATATTTTCTTTCCAGGACTGATTCCTGATAAAGTTTCTGTGAAATTTTATGGAAAGTAATAGCTCAGGCAAAAATAATCAGAATATTTTGAATGCTAGTAACAAAACTAAAGCAATTTGAAATATCATAAAAAATATGACCACATCATCTTGATATTTTGTAGTGAATGTTGTTGTAAAAGATAATGTCCGAGAAGCAAGAACTTCAGAAGAAGTTGCATCTCTTCAAACAAAAATTTTTCTAGAGTTGGGGCTGATCTCACAGAGGGTTAAAACCACAAAATTCAACATCATACGCATCCCAAAACTATTTCAACACAGTGTTTATTTCTGAAACTTCTTAGAGTGAAATCTCAAAATAGTAAAATAAAAAATTAATATTAGTTTGGTTGAATTTCGTATTGTTTATAGAAAATTTGTGCACCTCCTTAACTCACATTTTCAATGCTTCTTTATGCACTGGAATATTTCCTGATATTTTCAAAAACGGTAAAATTAGGCCACTTTTTTAAAAAATGCAACAAAAATTAAATTCAAAATTATTGTTCAATTTCTCTTTGACCAGTTTTCTTAAAAGCATTAGAGAGGCTTTTCTGTATGCAAATGGAAACTTTTCTCTGGTAAAACAAAGTGATATCAGGCTCACAACTCGGTTTTAGAAAATCAACATCTAGGAAACAGCAATTTTTCTTAAAGATGTTGTTTCAATGGACCAAAAAGAAGCACCTATTGGAATATTTTTAGATCTTTTGAAAGCTTTTGATATTATTGACCATAAAATCTTGCTCTCAAAATTACCTTTATATGGAAAATGCGATATTTCCCCAGATTAAATAACCTTGTACCTTAAACATCTGTTGTTCTGTCATACCTGTTTCTACACAATTAGACACTATACTGACCCTAAAAAGAAAATTAATATTTATTTTAACAATGATAATAATGCATTACTTTACATTTGTACTTTATAATTTAAAATAAGACTTAATGTGTGTAACAACTCGTGTACTTCAGCTTCCAGGTCAATGACCCCCATTTGATCAGACTTCTGTCCATTTTCCCTGATCCATCGAGTAAATGCTGAGATGGACCCTTGTTTTGCTTCTGGACACTTCTCCCTCATAAATCACATTCAGTTTTTACTGTTCTCTGACTAAGTAAACAAAAATAAATCAAATCATCTTCAGGATAGGTCAAAGATAAACACAAAAAAGTAAAACTCTGGTTTGGTTCCAGTAGTTTCCAAGCCACACGATCCACCTGTTGATTCCTGAGGAAGGAAAAGCAAGTGTGACAAGAAAGATATACTTAAAAGAGTGGGGAACTAGTGACCTCTTATGATGGAAGGGGATGGTGCTCTACCAAAAAAGCTCAGAAACCACACAGGGAGTGATTGTCAAATGATATTTAAATCTTGCAAAAACGACCATATGTAGAAAAATAAAAGTAAAACTATTAATCAATGTAACCACAAGAATACTGTAGTTTAATTAATTTTCTAACCCCTGCCTGATCAAATCTCACTTGAATCTCCTGTGGCGAAGTAGTCAACTGTGTGTGTGAGTGAAGAGGGTGGGGGGGGATTTTATTGTGCCAGAGTCTCACTATTAGTGAAACGAACCTACCTTGAAATGAAGAACCTTGTATTCTTTTAAAAGCTATTATTTCTGACCAACTGATGGAAAAATATTATCACAGTCTCAATAACAATTTGGATAAGCCAAAAATCATTGATGTGCCCTATAGTTAACAAGACATAAATTAAGTATTAAAATAAGATAATCTTAAAAAAATTATTAAGTTATAACAAAGATATTAGAGTTTCCTTTTTGGGCTCAGAATGTTATTTCATTTTCTGATTATTTTAAATAATTTCAATTGTAAAAATGTATTATTTTTGGATATAAAAGTGATCTTAAAAAAATATAAATATGTTTTACAGAGAAACAACATCAACTATAAAAAAATTAAAAATCCAATAATAAGTGACTTTCTTCAGCTAATTCTCCTTTAATTTTTTGCAATTCCATTTTTGATTCCATTTTTGTTTAGGCTAAATCAATCTCAGGTGATCAAAAAAGGTCACTTAATTTTTCACAAATTTAAAATGTTTATTACGAGAGAAGTTACTATTTTAATGACTATAAGAGCATCATACAAAAAGTTTATATTTATTCACATGAGAAATGTGAGAAATATCTGGCTGGGTGGCTCATAATGAAGTCGCTTGCCTTTCCAAGGAGGTCTGGGTTCGATTCCAAGACAATCTTATGTGAAATTTGTACCAACAAAATAAGTTTGGCTGCTTCACAAGGACTAGTCCAACCCCTATGTACTAAACCCTACCCCTATCCTAATTCCTTCCCATTTTGGGCCGCTGGGTAGTGTTGCAGGAGCGCTTAGTAGGAGGCGCATGTGCGGAGATGCTATCTGGCAGTCCTCTTGACAACTGACTGCAACAAGACGTGACATAATGACTTATACAAGTAATGGAGGATTACTTCTGAGCACACTATAATAGAGGATTACTCGCAAGTGCAAAGCCTGCAACACCCCCAATTACTTGAAGACGCATCATGTCAATTCAGAAGCAACTAATACAAATAAAAAAAATTTAAAAGGTAGCAACAAAGTTGTTCTACATAAATAAAAATATCTAATTCTCAAATTCTTATGTTTACAGAGTGGAATGTACTGGCTTCAGCTAGTGGACAAATATGCAGCAAACTGGTCTGTACTTCTCATTGCAATTTCTGAATGTATTCTGATTTCCTGGGTGTATGGAGCAGACCGCTTTTTAAATGATATTCAGGAAATGATAGGAGTACGTTCTAACTGTTGGAAGTTTTTCTGGAGGTGGATGTGGAAAGTAGTAACTCCAGCAGCATTATTGGTGAGGAAAATATAAAATTACATAAATAGTGTTTACATTATAGTATCATACAAGCCTACCCATTTGTCATATTTTTATTCATTAATTCAAATCAATACATTTTTTTACTTAATGTGTCACCATGATATGATATATATGAAGTGTTTGAAAAGTATAGGAGAAATTGCTTTAAAACTAAAATCAAATCAGTGTGGATCATTAACCCTTGTAGTATCAAGCAACCAATTTTGTTTTCAAAGAAAATCTAAACAATAGTTATGAATGCTTTCTATGAACTATGACTTTTTTTCTCTCCATACTATCTCTGGAACTGTGGACTAAAATATGCAATACAAAACTCTTTTTAAATGTTTTGTAGATGACAAAATAACCAATTTGAACAATCTTGTCTAATAGTGATATAAGAAAATTTCAAAACATTAATTTTTGAAGGTGATCTATGTATGTGTAATAGAGTACAAGAAAAAATTACATCAAAACACATTTTTGCAGATTAATAAACATTATTAACAATTTGAAACACAAATATTGCAAATTTTCACAACCTCAACCGCTTACCTTAGCAACAGGTGACAAGGTTTGAGAGTCAGTGCATAAAGGGAAGTTAAGAACACAGTAAATGTACCTTTTTGGGGCTAAAAATGAGGGGGCTGGTAAGTATATTTTTGAAAGATCTTGAGAGGCATCAGTTGATGAGGAAGGGGAGTGTAAAACAGTTACCAGAGATTATTTTTGTTAGTCAATGTCTGCAAAAGATTTAGTTATCAGATCATGGGAAAGTTGGTTTGTTCATTGATGAGAATTTCAGATTTCTGAAGAAATGGAAAAATGTGAAACATTTGTAATGCTCTCCTGTTTGAAAATGTAATTCTATTTCAGGAATTTTTGTGTCAGAGTCAAGATGGAAAATGTCACCTGTGTCTATGAGATGTGTTGTAAAGTGAGATCTATTTGTGTCTTTTGTTTCCATGCAAGTAAATTTTCTTAGATGTGATATTGATCTGACCTGTGTATTTAACTTTGCAATTGGGTGGGGTGGCAGTTGGGGGAGAGTAAGTGTTTGAGAGACTTGTATGCAATAAAGGAATTTTGGGGCTATTTTTAACAGAAGGTATAAAAATAAATTTTTAAGGTTTCTGGGTGAGAGATTTGAGGCTATAATACAGTCAGAGTTTTTCTTCTTTTCCAACAGGAGACTTCTTTTACATCAAAATCTATGTTCCTTTTGCTAAAACCTTACTACTTTTCTTCCTTCACTCATTCGTAAACTTCTGCTATACAACTGATAACAGAAGTTACAGAGTTCAAGATTCTTTGCATCATGCAGACGTGTCTTTGCATTGTGCTACCAAGAACAAATGTCCCAAGATATAAGGCTTCATGAATTATCCTTCCACACAAAATTAATTGATTGATTATCACTCTACAATACAATGTTTCATGAGTCATAATTCCATGAGGATGACAGATAACTACTGCAATCCCAGGAACATAGTCTTCATCTTCCTTTTAATTTTTTTTGTTTGGAATTATTTTTGTAAACATTTACAAACTAAAAATATGTCATTATTTAGTACTAAACACCTCCTATCCCTATGTAATACTTCCTCAAATCCCCTGCCCCCTTTTAGTTACATAATTTATTTTCATACAAACTTTTACCCAAATGATACATGTCTTGTCCCATGTCTTGAAAAAATGTACATGACATAATTTCAATTTTTTAACTTTCACAGAATGTTCAATTAGAACAAAAATTCTTATCTTTCCTATCAATCAATTAACCTATTGGTTGCATTTTAAATTTGTTGTTTGAACAGCGTGTTGGCCTATACCTAATTTATAAAACCAGTGTAATATTAAAATAATGAGGTGTTGAAATACTTTTTCTAATTAACATTGCTAAACATTTGTTCATTAGATCAATCAGCTCCTTGATCACATTACCAACAACAAAAAGTAATGTCATCCATGAGCATCTAATTATATCTTCTCCAAACAAATCAAAATATCATTTAAAAGCAGCTGAAATAACATAGAATCTAACACACTCAGTTGAGAGGTTTCCACTTCATGAGGCCACTCCTTTGACATTTCCTTCCACATATGCACATTCTTCCCTTGATGTAACGACAACAATGGTAACTTTCAACCACTTGAATATAATCAACATTAGCATTCAGGAATTTGGAAATACCCCATGCTGCCACCCTCCGCTCTGGATAAAAAAAAATCTCAAATTAGGGCAAGTAAAGCAAATTTGAGTTGTCTAGAAATATGAGTCCTCAAATGAAGATGTTGGCTATTAAGTTTTTGGTATGTAGCAAAAATAAATTATTTTATTAAACAACAAAGTATTTTAATATTCAACTTTAACAGTTTTAGTGATAAGTAAAATATTATATTCTTCCTGCATGATTCTTCTAGTCAGTATGCCTTGCAGTACCTAGAAATACACAATATGAAATGTTGACACACACTTGAAAGATGGTAATTGTACCTACAATTCATAAATAATATATTTCAGTAGAATGATAATTTTTATTTTTTTCTATTCTATTGTTTCATAAATCCAGAAAGGCAGATAGTAATGGTTTAGCAATCCTGTCATTTTCCTAATAAACATGGTTCCATATTGCTAGTATCAATTAATTTTATGAAGAAAGCTGATTTTTTTTGATAAGAAATGTAAACTGTGTTTGTAAATAATTAAGAAAACCATCTTTGTTACAGTTTATTCTCTTCTTTAATTGGATTGAATATGCTCCAGTGAAATACGGTGATTATGTTTATCCTGATTGGGCAGATGCTGTTGGTTGGGTAATTGGAGTATTTCCCATATGTGTTATAATTGGTATGGGAGTGGCAAAATACAATACAGTTCCTCAAGGAACGTTCAGAGAGGTATAAAAATAAAAATAAAATGTTGATCTATATTTCTTTCTAAATCAATTGATTATATCAAGAATTAATACACTAACATTTGTCTGTAAAATACACTTGTAATGTTTTTTTGTTATTAGAAAATTCACTTTTTGCTGCAACCAACACCTGATTGGGGACCAGCTAATAGACGAAGTACCAATCCTTTACCTACATATGACAGTGTACGAAACACTATTGTGATGGTGAATGGACTGCCTATCATTCAGGAAACACATGCTGATTCTGAATCATTGGAAGACAATAGACTCTGAGAGTGGGCTTCTTCCCGGAGCCCATCAGAACAAAAGCGGCCCGGGCCAAGTATACTCAAGCATTCAGCCAAAAGGGCCTCCAAAGATGGCCCAAATTATAACCCAGTGGAAACAGACACCCAGTTCTCAAGCACTTATACAGCCACAAAACCTGTGTAAATGTGGTGCAGAATGCTGAAAAATAGAAACAATTCAACTCCATTGAAAGGGGTACCGACTGTAATTAAAGCTCAATGTGGAATACAATTTATGCGATGAACCTCCAGGTCTTTAAACAAAAATGTTTGTAGATCTGTTTAGATGTTATAATGTATTGGAGCTCTAGAAAATACATAGGTAAGCATATGGAAATAAATTTGTTATTGTATAATTGAATTACAAATAGAAATGATTTTATCCACATTTAAGTGGAAATAAACATGAATAATTGTATATCAGTTCTGCATAAAATTGAGATGAAAATAGTGTTATGAGATCTTAGAAACATTAATAGATATTAGTTGCTCACAAGGTTAAAATGGGGTTGGGGGATGAAGTCATGGTTATATTTTTTAAATTCCTCCAGGGGACAATGGCAATGTGCAGAAAACAAAAACGTACAAGAGTACAAATTGTACAGTAAATTTTTGAAAACTCAGATCATAAAATGACAGCATTTACAAAGCTAGTGTATTAACAATGCCCGTTGAGTTTGATTATGAAGAAAATGACTCAAATTCATATGTTACCTATGTCTAGGAACTAATTAGCGTAAAGGTGTTGTGAGGACAACCTAATGTATTTATGAAGAAGCATTTCCTTCTCTTGCTGAAGGTGGTGTCCAGCATATTTGAAACTGAATAGCTTCAAAGCAAATGCACCCTTCTACAGTTAGCTAATAAAAGTTGTGTGAATGTTCATTAGCCTATCCTGCAGTAAAAAGCTAATACTCTTGTATGTGAAATCTAGTCAATGATTCAAAAATGAATCTGTAATTGTGCTGTGATTCATATTGTTAACTTTCAAAAGAAATGTAATGATACTGCAGAAATATTAGCTTAGTTTCACAGATATAAATAATATAGAGAACCAAATATAAAGAAATTGAAGAAATGAAAAGGTCAATGGTCAGAAAAATTATTAAATTCGTCTATTTGAAGGGCAGCAGAAAAGATAACTTCAGAATTTCACAAGCAAGAGAAAACATACATGTGCCAACAGCTCCACTCTCCTTGTTAAAGTTGTTAATGGATGTTGAAACAATTTCATCTTTCACACATTTCTCACTCTGTTATTTAGATCACATGTACAGAAAGTGTTCATGATTTCCCTTGTATCTCAGTGAGGTAAACTGAACCCTAGTGGAGAGATTTCATCTGTTTGTAAGGTGTTCTATTTTAAGATAATGTTATTCCAGTCTCCGCTTCTTACAAGACTGATTCCTGGTACATCAGAGAATGCCATTTTTATACAAGAACGCTTGTCGATTGGAAGACTGTAAATTATGGATGCATGTGTCATATACACTGAACTTCATCCAGGCTCAAATATGAAGTTTTATCAATTTGGTAATTCCACAGGGTAGATTTGAGTGACTCAGAAGGAATCAATAACTGATAATGTCTTCTCATTCTTCTAAATATCAATATCACTATTTTCTGAAATCAACATCAAAATACACGACAATAATAATTTTCATAAGTTCATATTCTCTTTAATAATGTCAAGTTCTTAACTTTATAAACCTTTTAATCATGATTGAATTTTAATTGAAAATAATTTTTAAATTGGAGAAGGGAAGACAATTTTCAGAAATTTTGTTCAACAAAACATAAGTTGGTTATACACAAACTCATTTTCATTGTACTCATTACCAAAACTCAAAAACAATCACTCAACAAAATAAATGTTACTATTGAAGGGCTTGGGAGCAAATAGTCTTATGACACTTCAAACTGAAATTTAGTTTTAAGGTAAAATATGTCACTTCCCCTGATTATGACTATGAGGAATCTATAGCAAACCTTTCTGTAATAGTCAGCCATTTGTTGTCAACATTTAAAACCAGTTAGAGAAACATAAATTGGAAGGCTGAGAGCCTTATCGATAATAATTTCTTAAGTTTTTCCAAAATGTGACGTAGTACCTTCTGATCCCAAACCCTTCAATTATATCCAAAATGTGAACATTCCTGATAAAGTATATCAAAAAATGAAAAACGATTTTTGTGCATATATTTTTATTGTATTTCAATAATATTTTTTTCACCTGTTACTAATCACTGCAAGAAAATATGAATATTCTATTAAGTACTGGTGGTCAGGATATTTGATATCAAGATTATCTGCAAAGTTCCTCAACTTACAAACTTAATCCTTGAGTATTATGTCTTTAGAAAATAATTTATAAAATATTTCTTTCTTCATTCCAAATTTGTATGTAAATGGTTATAAACACCATTTCTTTGACTATACAGAAGAAACATTACAAGTTATAATAGAGGCCTACTTGTGACAGTAATCATACACTGATAAAAGTTTTTAAATTAATACAATTATTTTTTTAGAATAAGTGGGAATTGGAAGGATGACTTCAATAATAGCCTGTTCATGTAAAATATTTATGCACAATTGAACCAGTAATATCTTTATTAATATTTTGATTTGAAATTTGGTTATTATATATGGAATTATATTGAACACCTGAGTTGTAGATAAGAGACAAAAAGCTTATTCTAATTTCAGAATGTAATCAGTTATTTTATCAGTCATTAGCATATTAGTATTTTTGAATGGTGAATAATGTCTTTTTTGCTGCTTATGAGCGGTGTGATCCAACAGGATATGCTGCATTACTGTGCTTCATATCATGAAATACCTTTTCATTGAACCTTATGATTAAACAAACTAAAGTTTTTACTTGACAAAACTTGTTTGTCTTGGTTTCTTGTTTGTTTGTTATATTATAATACACATTTTTCAGAAATCAAAATCCTATTTAAGATAGCAAAGAAAAAAGAAATGAAAAAGAATTTATTCAAACATGAAAAAATTAATTTAAAAAAATTTCTGCGATCCTGAAATATTACAGTTATGTTTATACTTTCATTTTGAACAAAATTTTGGATCTATCTGTGAATAAAAAGACCAATATGAACAAAGAGGTAAATCTGGAGTATCTGAGAATGGAAAAGATGTGTGATAAATAAACTGTATACTTAAGTCTGTTATTATTTCTTGAGTGGTATGTCAGGTATAAAAAAAATTATATTCACTAGAAGAAAATTGAACCAGAGGCCACATGAAAACTCTTCAAAATTTAAAAACTTGTTCATATTCAAATTATTGATCTTCACATATTTCTCTGGATTCGTCTGTCGTCTACTGTCTTTTTGTAACAATCTCCCTTTTTTGATTCACCCTACATCAATCAGTTTAATTGAGAGTTTTAAGTATCACACTTGCAAGAAATAATTGTGACGCTGGAGCATAAATCCCTGTGTAAATAGAGGTGCTGACAAGTTGATAAAAAAATATTTCTCTATGGCTTAAAGGAAAAAGTGTAATTTAATAAAATTTCTCAATTAACAAGAACCCAAAAGAAAATAAATATTTTTGGTGGTAGTATTGTTAAAGGAAGTATAACAATGAGAAACAAAGGAATGACAAAATGTAAATACAATGCTCGTATTTGGAAATTGGATCCTATTAATGAATTTTCATTTTCTTCTATGATATCAAAATATTTTTTTCTGTAATATGTAGATATTCAAAAGAAACAGTTATTTATTCTGCTTCAGTTACTCAAAATATTTGATTTTCATATTTTATCATAAGTTTGTAACTAAATGCAATTGAAAAGAGTAGTAGACAGCAATTTTAACAAAGTGTATATATCACATTTCGTAACAATTTGAAAATCAAGAATTACTTATTGAAAATTTGGTTTGTAACCACTTATTGGGCATGAACAATTTCATGATATTTTTTTTTATAATGCAATAAAGACTTTTATTCACTAGTCTAAGGTTGTCTTGGTGAAGAATTGACAAACAGATGCTTGTTACCACTGAAGCCTGTTACAATAATCCATGGAAATAACAAATCCAAGGGATCAAACAATTAGAAAGATACACGGTTAATTATTTTGTCATACTTTATGCAGACATGAGGCAGAGCTGTGAACAAAATTGTACTGAATCATAAGGGTGTTATTTATAGTTTCTGTGTCAGTTAACTTCAAAAATATTTTTTGAGAAATGCTAGTCAAATAATTAGTTTAAAATTTCAGCAATGTATCTTTTTAACACTATTTTAGCTGTAATCAAATACAAGAAATTGGAACCAAGAAGGGATCATGCTGATCAAAAGATCATTAAAATTTGTATACAAATGTTTTAACAAATAATGACCAACTAAAATTACATTACTTAATATTAATCTGAAACATTGTGGAAATCAGTTCTGCCTTTATTTGTCTGATACAACAAAATCCTAACATTTGTTGTTAGATACACAAAAACTACTCGAATGTCTGTCATTTCTGGTAATATTTGGAATTGAATTGATATGGAATATTCGTGTTTCAGTGCTTATAAAGTTCATTATTTTTAATGAAATAAAACTAATTGAAATAATTACAATTAATGTTATCAAATTGCAAGTAAGAAATACAGTTCTCTAGGGTTTATCTTGCTATTCCGTGTACTTGCATTTAATTGTAAAATTAAGGAAAAAATTTAATTATTAGCCTAAAACTTTGAAAATGAGAAGAAATGAAAGTTGTTTGCCTTCATATACAATATGTACTAGGCTAATTCTAGACAATGTTGAGATTTTTTGGGTCTTTTCATATTCTATTCTATTTATAACTTAAGTATTTTAAATTTAATTACTATAATATTAAACAATGAAAAGGACTCTAATTAATTACAGTATTTAAAATTATTATGCCAAAGTAACCTAATTTAATTGTTAAAATTTAAATGTTAATTATAATTAAAGATTTTTGAAATATATGCAATGACAAAAACTTCTCATAAAGTAACTTCCATACATTACATTTCATTTAAACCTCAATGCAAATCAATAGTAAAATAATAACTTTTGAGGTGCTGGATGATTTTGAATATTACAAAGATAAATAGCCAAAAATAATTCAAAATCTTTCTCAGGCTAAAATCCATCTTCATTTCTTCAAAACAGTTATTTCTTCTTGAACATTTTTGGTACCTGCAAATCAATTTTAGAATTGACATAGGTCTGAACCTAGTAAGAATATTGGTTAAAAAAATGGAAAATACCTATTAGCAAATGCATCACAATGAATAGAATTTGATAGGCAAAATAACTTATTGAAGTAGTATTGTGCTGAATAAAAATAAATTATATACGCTAGTTTAAAATGTAATGCTTTGGAAATGGGAGCAGAGATTATCATCATTAAATTTATCAACCTCATCGTTCTGAAAACATTTGTCTCAATGTGACTCTTTTACTTGTTACACATACTGAAAATGTACACAGTTGTGCAAATTGAAGAAATGCATTGGGAAAACAGTAGTATCTGTTTCAAAAACACACAATTTTATGGTTGTGCCCTTTCTAAAATTCTAGGAAACTTTTAACCTTGCTCTAAGAAATATTATTGCGATGTAATAGTAATGTGAAGAATCAAACAATATATTTCCCTCTGATATGATATATTTGATGATAAATGACTTAGCTTCTGAAAGGAGTACATCAAGAAAAATATTTTCAGAATAACATGTCTGATAAAGTAATATTTGCTTTAATTGCAGCAATAAATGTTGCAAGTATTTAAAAAGATAAGCATTGATAAAATTCAAACAAAACATCAACAAAGTTTTAAAATTTATTCAAAATTCAAAACTACTAAAAGTTACTAAAGAGAAGACTAATTATGAAATATGTTCCAAGTTGAATTACGAGGCATACATTAAAGTGACAAAAAACAACTAAACATAACCTATGAGACAAGAAGGCAGACATTCATTCTAGTTATGTGTACATATTTAATACCTAATAAAAGAAAAACTATTTTCAAAAGACAAATGAAATATATTTTAAAAACCTAGGTATTTTTGTACCCCACTATATTTTTATTGTTTTAATTGGATTTCTTGAAATCTAAAACAACCATCTGTCATAAATAAAATAAGTAACATGCTTTTCTGGATGGTACTTATAGTAGTAGCATGAAAAAAGTTTCCTAATATAACTGTTAACTTATATCTTTCAGCAAATGAGTAGATACCCATCTTGACTAAGAGATTACCCATTTCAAATAATATAGGTATTACTGCAACAAATTTGATATGGATATTGTAATGCATTGAGTATTGCTTTTGCATCATGAAGCACTAGCCTCCTAGTGAAAAGCAATAAGAGTGTTATTATGATGGTATATCTTAAAACTTTTATCTATGACTATTACAAAGCAATTTGTATAATTATATTTTTTTAAATTAATTAATTTATTTATTAACGTAAATATCGTAGATGAAATAGTAAAGCTACTCATTTGTTTTGAACAATGCCTTTCTTTCACTACTGGCAAAGGAGTGTTGTAATGAAGTCATTATGATGCTGGTGCTACAAAATGTTTGCAAGCATAATTTTACATTGAATGTAAATACAATCATCTCCCTAAATTCCTTTAATTTCAATAATTTTTTTTTACTCTGATACTCTCATTTACAGAAAAGTTTTTACTTAAAGACCCATTTTGTAAAAATTAAATTGAGGAAAAATCCATCTGGAAATAAATTTTAATATAGAATTAAGGTAGGGAAATATATTTTTTTCACTGATAAATGTAATTTTTTTCTTTGATCATTTATCATGTAATCATTTTCCCAGTTTCAGCATTAAAGTTGTTTTTAAAAACTGAATCTGGAAGTTGAAACTTACTGTATAGGTTATCAAGAAAACAATTTTAAATAAGAGTGAATTCATAATATTTAATACCAAGATTAGTAAATACATATTTATATAAACTAATATTTTTGTTCATAATTTTGATCTGAGATTCTAATATTTTTTATTCCAATACTAAGTGTATTGAAGCATGATTATATTGTCCAAAAGTCAAACAAACAAATTTATTGTTTCTATCTCACACCATGAAAACACTTGGGACTATTGATAAGTGACTCAAATTTGCTCAAAGCGAAGAAACAAAGTTAATGTTCAATCCAGTCGCCTTAAATATCTTGAAACGTTCAAAAACTTTCATGTTTGATTTTGCTGTAGTAAGTACTATTAACTTCTATTTGCTTTTGAGCAAACTCTCATTTAGATATAACAAAGTAAATCAGTTATTGATTTTCTGTAAAAGAGAAAACATTCATTAAAAAAATCATAAATATGATTTTTATATTTCTTTAATTATGCTTGAAAACTGTTTAAAAAAATCAACATTGTTTTTACACCAGTTATCTAGTATTGGAATACTCTCTAAACATTCTTTCTTTCACAATGAACTTGGACTTCTTGTGACAAACAGTAACTTAAGAATTTCTTTTCTAATTGCACATCATAGTACCACATTATTTAAATCTGTAAATATTAAATTTAATGCAATGTTGCCTACTTTGTAGAAGTTAAAGAATGCAAAAATGGTTTTATAACCAAACTAAATAAATATTTATTAAAATGGAAAATGGAAATGTAAAGCTTTAACTCAGTTCTTTCACAGAATACAGAAAGTAATATATTTCCTAGAATGCTTTATTACTCACACCATAAAATCAAATAAACTAGAATACAGCTAAATGATTTGTTTTCACAATTATCTTAAGAAACATTCTACAGAATGTCTTATTCCAAAGCAATACTGAATGGCCTAGAAAACAGAGAAATGATAATAGGTTATTTTAATATCTCAGTAGCACATTTTGCTGTTGTATAGACTTGTCTCGTAGCACTATAGCCCAGTATAACCAGCTTAAACATTGAATTGAACCTTTTCATTTACTTTTTTAAAATTTAAATTAGTACAGAAAGTTTTTTTTTTAAATGTTCATAATTTTGTTATTAACATACAAACAGTAAAGTAGGAGTTGTCAAATGGGGTGTGGTCAGAAAATTTAGGGGTATGGTAAATTTTCAGGACTTACTGTACGTCAATCTATGTGGTATACAATTTTTGTGAAAAGGCCATTCAAATATGATCACAAAATTAAGCTTTTTTTCTAAACCACTTTTTCCCCTTCTTTGTAACAACTCTTAATATAAGCACTCCCACCCCATATCTGCAACTCAAATATGAAAGTTCTATTCTGCACCATTCTACTGTGTACATACTGCATTATTGGCATTACATATGCCATGATATGTAAATTGATGTATTTTTTTAGTGATTTACGTTTTCAAGTAATCTCTTATATTAATATTAGATTGCAATTGTAAACAAAGAATCATTGTGTATAGTCATAAAAAGGCTTTAAAGAACCATAAATGGAGTATTACATATAGTTTCAATATTTCTTTGCATTCATGTTTCTAAGTGTGCATATTATTTGCATACCACTAGGATGTTTGTACATCCCATGGGGTGTTGTTTTTTAAACTTTCCTGGGGCTGTGCTAGTTCAAAAAATTAGGATGAAGTACCACACCCCAAGGGAATCCCTGCACACAAATGACACATAGCATTATCAAAAAGATAAAATTTCAAAATAATTTACAATAGAATTTCTACATCAATAATGTAAATTTTCCAAAACTAGTTTACATAGTTTGATTTTATAACTGGAAAGCTCTTTTTAGAAAACAAGACATAGCTAAAAGATGATTCGTAAAGAAAATGGCAATAATGGTTCCAAACCCATCACTATATCTAAGAATTATGACCAAAACTCATCATTCATTCTCAAGTGTTTTCTTATCACTCAATGGAACATGCAAATGGCACAATTAAATTCATGCTCTGAAAAAAGTATAAGATCGTATTTTACCATTGAATGATACAGTTTCAATGGTATATATGATTTATAGAAGCACTTTAAGAAGAAATTGAAAGCCCAAGTGGAATTTAATGAATATGTGATCTTTTCTAAGAATATTCATATATGGTAAGCAATGTGCATTAAAAAATGTTGGGATTTTAAGGATGGTTACAATAATCCACTCACTGATGAAGAAATCTGCTTAATGGAATGACCATTGAATTTGTACATTATGATAAATAGTTCTATAAATTTTTGTTCATGTTGCTAACTTTTAGTCTCCACGCACTGGACAAAAATTAAAAACTGGTGAAATGCAATAATTACAGACCTATTTAGGTGGAATAGAAACTAGATGTCAATATTTCAAGCACTCAGAAGAAAAGGAAAGATTTCCTTGTTGTTTGTACTTAATTTACCATAGTTTAAATAAAAATTGTCAATGATTAATACTTAATTTCTATTGTGATTGTACACATTCAGGTGCAAAATATAGAAAGATCATATATATGTTAATGTTATCAATTACATATTTTATAAAAATTTTGAACGTATGTTTAATTATAATTATGTCTTTACCTAGGAAACACTATGTGATAAGAGTAAATCTTTGATGATCTATTTGTTTTGTACATCATGAAATACGTAAATGTACTCCAGATTCCACTATGTATTGGTTCTGAACCTATGTAATTAAAGAATAGTAAGTTATTGTACATGTGGGAAATAAATTACATTACATTCATTACTCTGTAGTAAATGTTCTGAAAAAACTTTTAGCATTTTTTCTGTCACAGTAAATTCCCTCCAGAAATGCTTCACAGACTACTACCACAAAGCAAGACCCACATGTCTAAAGATATTACTATGCACCCAAATATATATGTATAAAGTCTTCTGTATCTGTTGGATGGAAGTTCAATTTCCCCAATGACTGTACTTCATAAATAGCTCTCTAATTACATTTTTGTTGGACTGTAAAAATAAATGTGATTTGTTTACTTTAAATACAATGTATTAGAAGTGCTTCCTTTGTGGTGGATGCCAGGATCCTAGTTGAAGTTGGAATATATTTGTACATATACTCAGATAAATGTTATGCATCCAATTTTTATTTTTTATTTCTCGTATTGTCATGTTAAATGTTATAAGAAATGAAATTAATGTAACATGTTAAGAAAATAAAACTTACGGTCACATGAATCCCTTGAAATACACTGTAAGAATTAGGGCAATTTAGTCTCTTAGTTGTGCCATGATGTATCATTGAGCTATTGAGACAATAAGTTTGATTGGTGTTAACTAGATGATGGAAAATTGTCAAACACATGGCAAATTAATGTGTTAAATATTATTTGCAGTAATTTTAAGTTTTGTAAATTCTGAACTGATGATAAATGTAGTACAGTATAAATTGTACAGTTCACTATATTTAATTGAATGATGATTCTGTTAACATTATTCTTCACAAATTGAATAATTTTGCAAGTAAAGAATCAAATAATAAAAATACAAGCCTTTTTGTTCTGTAAATTAAATTGAGCTTATCAGAAGTAAAGAAATACATGGATATACAAAGTTTACTCTATGAATTCACAAAATTGTAAACAGTGCTTTCAATCCTAATTCACATACAAAATGTAATAAATAGCTCATATCTCAGTCAATGCCATACAGCACCAAACTAGTCTTCCATAAAATATTTCTGCTCACTGTTTTCGGTTTCTGACAAATACAATCTGCAATTTTCCTCCTTACAATAATTCAAGCAATATGTTATTGAAAGAATTCTTGTGATTGGTGACTCTTGATAGATATTATAAATATTAGTCATCTCTGACCTGGTATCACCCTGTCGTTTGCATTGTTTACCTTCGTGTAAGCTATGAATGAATTTTGAACATTTTAGTTTAAAAAAACTTTCCTGAAGGCTTCAGGCATTCCCTACAATATATTTATCAATAATTTTTTTCATTTCTTTATTTATTTTATTACATTTGATGAATTTCAGATAATAATGAACTTTTTAATGCCCAACAACTGGCTAGTCAAATTTCATGTTCCATTATCCGAACAATAAATAAAATAATGTGAAGACCAAAGCCAAATAGAAAATAGAGACAAAGTTTCCCAGCAATTTTCAAATGCATTATTTTATTAATAATATATGTTCAAATATAGTATATGAAACTAATATTATTGGCTATTTTTAAACCCACTGAGTGAACCTTGCCATTGTCTAGAACATCCTATAATCTGACAGAGCCCTGATTTAATACTATTTTAGTATTAGAAAAAAGTAAAGATGAGGGGGAAGGTTAGATTATCCTAATATTCATTGACCTGGAAGAGGTCTACAATAGTAAACTGTGTTATGTACACTCAAAAAACAAAAATAAAAAAAAGTAGTAAAAATATAACTTATGTGAAAACAATTGGAAAAATATAGAGCCTACAGAATATTTGTAGCACTAAAGGGATGATAAAAATGAGCATAAAAATTCTTAACAATTTCAAATTACCAAGGCCTAAAGCAGGGATTCCCAACATTTTTCTTGCATCAACCTCTTTAAAAAAATTATTCCCTTCATTATCCCCATCAATTTTGCTACAATATCCAGCATCAACAAAATCATGGTACAAATAGTTGCAAGTAATTGGTGAAGATTATCATTCAACAAAGAATATGAACAAAAAAACAACAACAACAACAACAACAACAACAACAAAAGTTTATTACATCATTGTTTTATTATTTTCTGCACTATTATAATAATCAAGTTGTCAGTCACTAAATTAGAGGTTCCATGTACACAAAAGTTGGATTTTCATTGCTGGAAATGATATGAAATTCCAAACGCAAACTAAATTTAAAGCTAACTAATGTTTATAAGCTCTAAATAAGATAATAATTAATTATAGGATTCGTTAATATATTTGTTTGTAAGCAATAGAATTTTAATCTTGATTATACTGATCAATCTGATGTATATTCAACTATTGGCCCTCAATCGACCACTTGATCATCATTGACCTCCTTTCAAATTTAATTGACACTGGCCCCATTGGGGATCCCTGATCTAAAGCAATGATGTCACTTGCCTTCATTTTATTTAAAATGTACTTACAGGTCACAGTAGAAAGTTGGAAAGAAAAGTGTAAATATATGGTAATAGAAAGTTATGGAAATTGGTCACACACTATTGAAAAAATTTGATTTAAATATCTTTTTGAAAAATGCAAATGTTTAATGAAAAACCAGCTTCTGCATCAATATTTACAGTGCTAACAAAGGTTTAGGGGTCACCATATAAGAACTTTTTTCTCATCCCCCTCTCTTTTCCTTTTCTATTAGAATATTAAATGTTTAAAAAAATATTCATTGATTCACCACTATATAATTGATTAAAAATAGTGCCTGTAATTCATTTGTTACATTTATTAATAAAAAATTAAATAAACCTGAAAATAAATTAATTACAATAACATTTAAATACCTAGTTACGCAAATATAAGACAACCTTATTTTGAAGAGGCCTCCTGACATTTCTTAAAAAATATTTAACTAATAAGATCACATAAAAGCCGTTTTGCTGTGTTCTTTTGTTTTTTCAAAAACTACACAAATGTTATTTTTGACAATCTTTCTCATGTTGTTAATATTTACATTAAAGGAGATTACATTTATTTACATTGGTTAGATCGAGTGTTTATAAAGTTTCTGAAAAACTCAACTGTTGTCAGTGAAAATGAGCTCAAAATTCCACATTTTCGGAAATGCTCAAATGCAATTGCCTCAAAAACGTCCTTAGATTTTTTCTTTCAATTTTTTTGAACCGATAGTGCTATATATACTGATAACATGACAGAAATACCACTCTCATTTACCTATTCTTTTGTTTTTTCAAAAAGTAAACAATGTATTAATATTTACGATAATTAATATTTACGTTATCAGTAATTTGGCATTCATTACTGCATTTGTGACTTAAAGTGTTTTGGATAATTTTCAATCACGTTTCTCAAAACCTCAAAAGTTGTCTGTGAAAAGAGCTTCAAATTTCGTATTTACAGAAACGTTCATAATAAGACACTTTCTCAAAAATATCTTTCGAAAAGTTCCATTTAGGACAAAGTTATAATGTTCTATAACATTCTCAAAGGCATGTTTTATTTCTATTATTAGGGAACCGAAAATTGAGAGAAAAAATGTAGTTTGGATGGCGATATATGGCAGCTGAGAAGACCGAGAAGCTAGACTAGAGCAAAGACAATTTTTTCTAACTTTTAAGATTTAAGAAATGCAAATCGATTAGAAAACGCGGTCCACGGGGAGGGAGATCCCCCCCCCGTAAATTTTTTCAGGAACTATTAATTTCAAACTGTCACGAAACTTTCAAGCCAAAATATTTTCGGATAATCATTAAAACCAAAGAAATCGTATTGCAGCATCAACTAAGTGTAGCCTTCGACATTTTACAAAATTTGTAATTGACACATTCAACCAAAATATTTTGGAAACCCCCTCCCAAAATTTGTCTCTGCATCCGCCCGCAAAATTACAATTTTTCTTACTTTTCTAATTTTTAATTTGTGCTCCTCGACGCGTTGAGAGATATGTGTGCTTATGATAAGTAGTATGTTATGTAGTAATGTTTAAGAAAGTTTTACAGTACATTTTAATAAAATTCCAATTCAAATCATGGTTTTTTATTAACCTATTGATTTTCAATATGAACAGTTTATGGCTACAATAAGACCATTGAATGAAACTGAATAAAAAATCGAATTAAAAATGTATATTCTTGTATTGCGCCAGTGTCTCTTCAAGGCCAAAGCTGAAAACCGTGGACCAATCACGAGCTTCAATACCTATAATTCAAGTCATAACGAAGCTCACGATTGGATGATGTCTTCCTCTCCAATCAGAGTTTGACTTTGAAGGGACACTGAGTTTGGTTTGGAGTATACTGCACGAAGCTGACAAACATGTAAGAAACTTTCATGTGAGAATGTTTATTTTTGGAGTATAATTTCTGTTGGATTACAGGGTCTTATTATAGACTAAGTAAACAACACAATCTGAGTTTTATTTCTATTGAGATTTTTACAATTAATGAAAGAAATTTAATAAAATCCTATTAAAGTTTCTCTTTGACTTCCGTTTACAACTTCCGGTGTACTAGTAAACTCCGTGACTACACTCGGTCTTTTTCGTCCGTACTGGCACGGCGTGTGAGGTTCTAGCACGAAGTTTGCGTAAAACTTTTCCACCATGGGACGTATGCACGCACCTGGGTATGTACCGATTGCTCTTTGTGAAATTTTGGAGAAAATGTTATATTTTAGTAAATGTTATATACTTTTTAGTGAAGTGTGTAAGTTTTGGGATTTGTCGTGTTGGAATGCCCATCCACGTGTTAGCGTTAATGTTCTTTTCTTGCGCAGAAAGGGTATTTCCCAGTCAGCGCTTCCGTATAGAAGAAGTGTCCCAACATGGTTGAAGTTAACTTCTGACGAAGTTAAAGACCAAATTAAGAAGCTAGCTAAAAAAGGTTTAACCCCATCACAGATTGGTAAGTTTCTGGACCTTTGACAGGAATATTGGGAGTTTGTTCGCTGTCTCTGTAATTTTTTAATTTTCTAAGGCGTGTGCTTTTTAAACAATGCAATTGGAATAATGTTGGAAGTGCACAATTTAATTGAGTAGTGATGGTATGTAGGTTGAATGTAAAATTTGTTGTTTAACACCACTTTCCCTTGTAGGCCGCTGCTGAAGTTAAATTACTTGCATTTACACGTTTAGGGATACAGTTCAAGATATTAAAAATGACTAGTATCTTATAAGAAACTAACTTAATTGTATCCCAAGCTTGCCAGGTTTTTAACAAATCTACATGGAATTAGTTTTCTTTCATTAAAGAAAAGGTCAGAATCTGAAACTTCTGAGCACCCTTCTGGAGCCAGAAATGATTCAACTTAACAGTAAGACAGCTCTGTTTTTGAAAAGCAATTCTTAGATGTCTGAGCACAATGGTGTGCTTATGATAAGCAGCTCTATTAAAATACTCTCAAAAGGATTTTGAGAAGATATAATTAGAAATGAGCATATCTGTATTGGGTTCGAAGAAGTTTCTTACAGTATAGTGGAGATATTGGCATATCTCTTTTGGAAATTGCCGGGGATTTCAATATGTCTAATTTTAGATATATTGTCAAGTCGGGTCATTAATTCATGCTGAGTAGGAATATTGTTTACATTTGTTACATTAAAACTCAGAAATGTTGAAAATTAAATTTACTATGTTGCCAGGTAAATTTTCTTTAATTATATGGTTTGTCTTTACAGAATTTGTCTATTGGTAAAGCTGACCCCCCTTTCATTCATTAATGGAATGTACCATCTACAAATATAAATCTTTCATCCTAGATGGGGAAAAACACATTTTTTGGTAGTATTAAAATATGAAGTTCTGCAATTTTCTCATTTAGATTATGCAAATATGAAAAAGGCAATTTTGTAACTCACTCTTCCGTTAACTACATGTTGGCCACTTTCTGGAAAACAGGAAAAAATCTTGAGAATTTCATTCACCTGGGGAATTCAGAAAATTTGTAGAATTGTTAAAAGTCAGGGAAAATTTTGAGATAGTTATATAACTATATTCTTCTATCGGATACCGAAAGAAGGCATTGAAGTGACACTATTTTGACCTGGAAGCCAAAGAGATTTGAGATTCAATGGAGAAGACACAAAACACCAAAAAGGACAGAGGCAGAAACTGCAGAAGATGAAGAGATGTACCATTGAAGACACGAAATCAAAAGGACACTACTGTGTGTTCTAGAGGATACTGGTTCACTAATCTGCATTAAAAGTACTATAGTTCAGAAATGATCAATTTGAATTCTTCTTGAACTATATAACCTCACTAGAATAATTATCTTCCCTTCTAAAGCTTGTGAATTGGAATAAGATCTTTGAGGACTTTACATCAAGTTTATTTGTTTTTATTATAACATTTACAGGCATCTACAACCATTTAAGCCACAAGAGCAAGATGCTGTGCTTGATTCATATTCCTTGGGAGGCAAGACACTCTCGTCTTATAGTATCTTGCAAGGCGATGTATTCTTGGTTCAACAAGGATAAGTCTGAACTTGGAATCCTTGTCTTCTACAAACAAAACAAAAGTTTTACTAATATCACTTAAGTTAAGTATAAGACATAGAAATTTCAATTAAAATATTTAATCATGAACATTTTTAATTAAAAAAGAAAAATTGAAGATCATGGTTATGAATAATAAGGAGAAACAGCAGGCACAAATACAACACACACAATGTTTCAGGGCCACACCCGTTACACTCCTGATGAAGGTAACTGCAGTTTCTAATGCAGTTACCTCCAAAATAAGAGCTTTTAGAATGTTCAAATATCTTTTGAGTACTCTACTTTAGTGCTACGCTTGTCAGGAACATTTGAAATTGTTCAATATGAGCTATTTCCCCTTTAAAATGATATTTAGTAATTACTGAATATTTACTTGGTCTAACGTAAATTCATTTACACACACACACACACACCTGTTTCTTTCAAATGTTTGCGGATAGCAACAGCCTCTTAATAAGGTAGTACAAATCTTCCGGAAGGTCAGGAGTGAAACCCTCGGATTTTTATACGGAGAACTTGTTCCAACTTTTTCATTGCATACAAATCTATTGTGCACACATGCGAATCCTCAAATAACACCTGAAACAAGAGAAATAAAAGTGAGAACAAATTACAACTTTTTTAATTTGCAAAGTTCAAATTCATCGCGAAACGTCAAATGCTTGGATATACAATTATATGGAGGGTCTTGTAAAGAATAATGGGTGGGGAAAAAACTAGGTCGTGGCACAAACAACGCAATTATTCCAAAATGTATTGTGCCCTTTCACTGCCCCTTCAAAACTGACAGCCTCTGCAATTATTTCCAACATGCAAGTTCAAAAATCCAGAGTCAAACAAAATTAGACCTTTGGCCTATCTTAAGCATTCCTCCTTTCATCAGGAAGGAAGGGGGAGATAAAAAATTATAATAGTTTTTTTTTTAGAAAAAGTTTTTCTATAAATACTTTAAGAAGAAATAATGCAAAAACAAAGGTATTTTCAAAACATTTTACATGACCATTTTTCAAGAGCTGATATTTTAGAATGGATTTTGTTAAGAAAAAATTACGATCTTCAAATCATTTTCAGCCACTAATATTTCTATTATTTTAATGTTACCTATTTTGCAATTTTCGAAAATACAAAGTTTGCGAAATTAGAATAGCACCTTTTTCTACATCCTTGGCAAACGTGGAAATTTAAAGAAAAATTTTGAAACAGTTTTTAAATAATTTGAAAATTGCTGTAAATCACCAAACTAACATTTTCAAAAAGTTGTACAAGACCTGCTTTAAAGAAACAGGAAAGGAATAATTTCTTTTTGGAAAAATTATCTTGAATATTGTACTTGTAGGAAGATGGTGAAAAAATACGAATTTCATATTTCGAAAACTCAAGGATTACGAATGAAAATGAGACCATTGTTTTGGATATCCTTTACACTACCCCAGAGCAATGTTAAACCAAAAATTTGGAACTGTATTCCGAGAGCATTAGAATCATTTGATGCTTCATGTAAGTACCCAAAAAATCAAAATGTCCATGTGAAACTGACGGTATCAAGATCTTTTAAATTGATCAAGAAATACAATTTTGGAGAAATTCGACCAAAGGTTTAGACGCTAGCGTGATCACAGACATTTTGTCAACGATTGTTCGGCACCAAGGATCACACAATGGATTCTGACATAACGTGTTTAGAGAAGTACCAAATTAATCCAAGATTTTCCCGGATTTTTCTTTACAAAAGGTCCGACAAGTTTTTCTATTGAAATTTCACCTTTTTGGAGCACGATTACAAATACTTTCTCTTCTTAAGGGTGAGAATGTTAAAACAGTACATTAAAAGTTTTAACACAATTTTACAAATCGTCATCAGAATCAGAATGGAAATAGGTAATGTAAGAAAAAATATATATATCTTTACTTCCTATATGTTTCTATACCTTGCAATGTAAAATTACCACTTTGCCTGCGATACCCTTTGCTTGGAGGTGTCTTTCTCGAATGCTCTGCTCAGACAGCACTAGTGCATTTTGGCAACAGAGCCTCTGCCATACTGGTGGGTTCAGCCATTTCTGGCTCCAGCAGTGCTCAGATGCTTCAGACGTTGATATTTACATCATAGCAGAGTACTACTGATTTCTCATATCCAAGTACAAGTAGACACTATCCAAGAAACCATTCTCTAAATTTTTCTATTTTTATCAACAAAACTTTTCCTCCCTGCTTGACCTCAAAATTTTCCCAATTGACCATGTCATCATTTTAATAACAAGATGGGCAAATAGCATTCGCAATTTTATTATTTGAATCAAACACTAAAACTGGTAATACGTAAATCTGTCTAATCCAAACATAAACGGCGACCTGCGAAACAATTAAATTATTACACATTGCATAATGCGGAATCTGTCTAACGCGCAAATATTCTGTCCTTGCTTTCCATATTGAGCAACTTTTACTGTAAAACAAATTAGCTTTTACTTTATTAGATTCCTAACAAAAACATTCAATTTTTTAATATCACTAAATAACAAATACACTGCACAACTTGGAAGTGCAAAGTTTCTATTTTAATAGATTCAGAAGTTTTCAAATTAAAAACATTGCTCAGACAGCATTAAATGCACTTTAGCAACAGAGCTCTGCATACTGGTGGTTCAGCCATTTCTGGCTCCAGTAGGTTGTTCAGAAGCTTCAGACGTGTTTATTCATCATAGCAAGTTAATTCTTTAATTTGATCACCCAAGATATTAATTGATTTCAGATATAGAGGGCGCTTGAATCAGACTTATTGGCTCATAAAATTATTCTATAGTGGCAAAGTTATTCAGCACAACCAATTAGACCTATGGAACTTAGAAAGCTTTCCAGAGTACTTCAATGTTAGAGATCCTGAGACTGTTCTGCAAATGCCTATAGATTCTACAAATAAGAACAGGTTGACTCTGCACAATGCTTCGTAGTTTTCGAGGTTCTTGACACCCATGTGTTGTGTATCTTGTGATTTGTGACATTTCACAAGTTTTATTTGGTGCACACGAATTTTAGTGTATTTTGTGAGTCAAATATCAGTGAATAGGTATATATTCACACTTTCTCTGCATGTAATATTGTGAAAGAAGTAAGGATTAAATTTAGTTATATGTTCTTATATGTTTATCTATTACCATCAAATTGTTCTGCAGTCTTTATTCTTTTTCTTGTCTTGTTGCCACAATTTGAGACAAAAATTAGAAGTTTTGTATTCTATGACTTTTTTGTATTTCCCTATAAGATCACCCAGCAAGTGCTTCTCAAATTCACCGCAATTTCTTGCTTTTAACAATCCAGTAGGCATTGCATTATCCATGAAAACAATATTACGATATATTACAACATAAATTAAATTGTGACAATTTACAAAATTTATGTTCA